TGGAGAGTGGGAAATACTGAAATGGCATATCGACATACCCTCTTCATCTAAGCTATCTGCCTCCTCTTCCTCATGGAACCGTTTAAGTATCTCCAGCATTTTAGATTTACTATTTTCATCAGGTTGCACTTGTTGCACTTCTTCCATCACATTCTCTCTCATAAAAGACTCTGTACAGCGAAGACTATGAGACTGCAAAAGTACCATATGAGGTCATTTCAGATACCAAACACTATCACCAATACATAGTGTTTTTTTCGGGGGGGAGATAAGTTCAAGCTATGTATAATATATAATAAGCCAGCTGTCATATACTAGTGTCCACTTTAAGAATCCAAATCAAGTACTTGTTTATATACAACCAAATCACAGTAGAAATCCTTGAATAGGTACCTTGTAACAATGCAAAGAACAGTATCGAATATTGCATCGAGGGCATGTATATTGTGAAAATTGCTTCTCGCATCTGCAGAAGTAAGGAATAAAAAAAGAACTAATTTATATCATTCTCGTATGCACGATTGAGTTGTCAGAAACTACAACAAAATTTAATGAAAATTAATGTTATCTGCAAGGGCCAAAATTCAAGGAATGACTAATTAATACTTAATGAAAATTAATGTTATCTGCAAGGGCCAAATTTCAAGGAATGAAGTATATCACGTCATCATCTTAACATGCACAAGAATTCCATTTTGGACCAAACAGACAAGCGAAAATTCCTATTGTTGTCCTCGTTAGACAAGCGAAATTGTTCATTTTGAACCAAACAGAATAACTTCAACCAAGATACCTTGTATCAGAGGAACTCAAAGACTAAAAAAGCATTAATGATAACAGGTTCATGACAAAATTTGACCTACATTTCATTATTCAAGACAAGCTTTAAATGAGAATGAGTATGGCATTATAGTGCACAGAGATGAGATTTTCACAGCCCAAAGTTATGGTTGTCATTCTAGTTCAATAATTTCGCTGATGCATAAAACAAAAGGGGTGTCTATCTCACGTGTATACATAGAAGTATTTCACAGCAATAATTTCATTACATGAACGACATTCTTTCATGTACATTTAAACCCAAACTTGAAAACATAAATGAAAATCATAATTAGGGAAACAATTATAAAAATGGCAAAAGTACCAAAAGCTATAAACAAAACAATACCCACAATCAAGAGCAAGGGAGCCAAACTTACACGCGGCATATTATGCGGGTATTAGGGCTGAAATGTGTAGAGTTGGAAGATGCTTCCGTGGTAAATATATTGTCTGACATCTACAAAGCCAAGATATTGTCATCAATCTGTGTAACTATTACACCACAAATTACTAATGGAAGTAATCGTCATTGATATTCAAACTCAACCATGCAATAAAAACAATACTCAAATCATCCAATCAGTAATATTTTTATGTCAATAATTTATCATGACATAATTTATTTCAAAATATGTCGAGACCCGTGCGTGCCGAGATAGCTGTTTTTGATAGACCTGTTTCGGAGTGACCTGTCGAAAGACCTGTTGCCGAGAGACCCGTGCGTGCCGATTGTTGAAAGACCTCTTTCCAAGAGACCTGTTTCCGAGAGAACTGTTGTCGAGAACCTGTTGCCGCTTCTAATCACAAACTGCTATCCTCCTTTAGGTAACTTTAAACCCTTAAATTTTCAATAACCCAAACCACTAAACGAATAAAATCTAAGAAAACAAAAAACATATTACTTTTATCTCACACAAAACCCTCTCTTTTGCATTCAAACAATCCAAAAGCAGGTGATTTCAGCCCATATATATATATATATAAAAGAAATCGCCCGATGTTACTGAATTACGCATCACCTCAGCCAGGAACTTTGAATATCTTCAAGCTCTCAAATTCATTCCAAAAACAGTGGGGAAAAAGAAAATAATAATAACAATACAAGCATACCTTTTTAATTAATCTGAAGCAACCATAAATATTTTCTCCGATGTTCCTCTACCGAAAATCTCATTTCAGAGGCTCAAATCCGACTTCCCCTATCAATTTTGGCCCTCCCTCGCCGCCGCGCCTCCGCCGCACTCTGCCGGATGCCCTTGTCTAGGTTGCTCACAGCGTGTGCGTGTATATGCGTGTAAGTATGTGAGTGTGTGTTTTCCAGTGAAGTCACGGAGTAGACCAGACTCTAGAGTAGTGGAGAGAGACAGTAGAAAAGGCCAGAGTTGAGTGTTGATGATGATGAGAGGTTCTGGTTCTTATATTTTGGGCCAGTGGGCTACCTTTTCTAGAACAACCCAGGTTAACAAGCCCATCTTTCTAATTACTGTTCATAACAATAATAAGTCTTAATTTCACATAAAATTTCCACATTTTGTATAATTGCAAAAAAAACTCAATTTTTTTTTTATCTTTGTAAATAAATACCATTTTCCGGACCCCAGAAACGATTTCTAGATCCAAGAAATCCTAAAAAAGATTTTTGGGATCATTTTTTAGATCCCATAATGATTTCTGGTACAAGAAATCGATCCCAAAAATCGATTTTAAATTTTATTTGTTTCATTATATAAGACATTGAATGACATATAAGACATGTTTTTTTGACATTGTTTTGTGAAATACTTTTGTATCTATTTTTTATAGATGGCGTGTGAAAAAGTTCGAATTGTGCATAGCGGATTTTGGGACGAACATGTCTATAAAAATGGACAGGTAGAGATGAACTTTAGACCATCCTTAGAGCATCTCCAATGTGACTTTTGACATTACAAAAATTCATCCATATCATCAATTTTTGAAAGTGTGTTACTAATTTGTTCTCCAATGCATCTTGTCATGAGCTCTTTCATGACGAGGTGGATAGCATTTAATGTTGACAATGTTGAATACACTTTCTAATATCTAACAACATGTTAAACATGATGTCTAATTAATTCACTTTATATTTGATTTAATTTTTTTATTTTTCTTGTATTAATGATTATTTTTATTGGTCCACCTATACAAATAACTTCTTATGAAATTAATGCATTGGAGATACTAATTTGATTTAAATTTCTACTCTTTTAACATTATTCCTAGTTGGATTAAAATTACAATCATTGATTGACATGTGTTAAAAATTATAGTTTTTCAAAGGTGTAGCATTGGAGATGCTCTTATCCTCAACTCAACCCAACTCAATCTAATAATTAAAAATTATTTCTCTCTCCTCCACATACACAACTCAACCTTCCAACCTAATTAATCTTTATTCCCAACCCAACAGAACATCAATATTTATTTTAATTTAATTTATTAAAAAAATTATAGTTTTGTTCCAAAATATATCAAGTGTGGTCTATATTTGTAGAGAATAAAAAAATACGAATTTTAGTATCTTTTTTATTTTTTTAAATAAAGAAAAAAAATACATTTATTCAATTAAAATGGGACAAGTGTCCCATTTTCTTACACTATACAGGTCGCGACCCACGGTCACAATGTGACCTGGGTCGCTCAATTTTAAGGCTTTTTATTTTGTTTTTTTAATATTTTTAATTGGTGACCATAGGTTGGGGTCAACGTTAAAGCTAGTCTTATGCATTTGGAGAGTTTGTCGTATGAAGACTTTTTAAATAGAGTTCATGACATTGCTTGTGGAGATAAACACAAGTGTGAGTCGATTTCACTTCTTGATAGCCAATGAAAATGGAAAGTTGACAAAATGGAGAATTTCTTGTGAATTTGAATTGCACAATTTGGCCGAATTGTTCCAAATTCCTATTATATTTGTTACGTAGTAAACCAAAAATCATGGAATAAGTGAATTTTCTACTCAACCACCAACCAATTTTCATGCTTTTGCGGGGTGACAAGGTGGATTTTTTAACTAAGTTGATGCTCAAAGTCAACCATTTTATTCATATGGTGTTACCGTTTAATCTCTTGCTAAATTCAATTGGCAAAAGCAACTCAAATATTGGCAAGTCAAACAAACTACAACTGAACAGAGTAAAATGGCATACATTTCAAGTCAAAACTGCCCACAGCTGAACAGAGGAAACTGCAAGGGAAACAATGAATAAGCCATGCCCAATCTCCAAAAAACTCAAACCTTCTCAGAATGGAACTATGGAAGCTCCCCAACCTGACACCATACAACAATACAACATCATCAACAACAACAAACCACCAAAATGAAAAGGAAAAAAGAAAAAATGATAGAAAAACTCTCAGAGACTAGACTTAGACTATATACAAAGTCAATCTCCTCTTAGCAGACTTGCTCCTAAAACACCACACCTCGAAAGCCTCACTCAAATCCGGGTACCTCGCCCGATCACCACCCTCCATCCATTCCGCCAGAATCTCCGCCTGATCATCCAACGGCAATCCCGACACTATCGATACAATCGCCCCTTCTATCCCTTCCCACATATCCCCATCACCCCCATCACCCTCCGACCACCCAAGCACCTCATCCCTTGAGCTCCTCACAAACGGCACCCACAGCATCAACAACCTCACCCGACCCGCGGCCCCCACGATAACACTCCCGTACCCCACCGCATCCATCACTCTATACACCACGCGCAAAATCCCAGCGCGAAAGCCCGGCCCAATCCCACGGGCCTCGACGGCCTTTAGAATTCTCTCCGACGAGTCGATCCACCTGGAGACGAACTCGGCCATGAGGCCCATCCTTAGCGAGACGCCGCACATCCACTCGATATCCGAGAGGCACCGAGTGATTCCTTCCTCGGAAGATTCCGACAGCTGGCGCTCGAGCGACGAGAGGGTCCGGGAAAGGCATGTTCTGGCCTCGGATAAAATGTCACGGCCGGAGGAGAGCGTGCACTCGTCGTTCGCCAGCATGTATTCCACCTGCTCCTGGGCCGAGACCCGCGGCCCGTACCCGAGAGTGGGGCACGGGCCATCCGAGGATGTGGCGAATTGGACGGCCGAGATGAAAGCGTTTTTCGTGGCGGTTAGAACTGCTGGTTTGGGTCTTGCTAGCACAGGCATGTTTTTATCAGCATTTAAAGGATAACCAGATTTAGATTTTTGAGTCACTTTTGCAATTTGCTTGTATGTAAAATGATAGAAACTCATCCGGTTAGATGTGTAATTGGTGACTATTGCCACACCTTGCAAAACAAGCATACACCATCATCAATGACTTGAATAAAGTAGTAGGACTGCTGATGAACTTTGAGATCAATAAACAGATAGGCTTTTACAATGTAAATGTGTAATACTAAGGTAAACAAACAGTTGGTAAATAGATACGTGCATGAATAAATAGATATACACACAGTAGGTCCGGCCCAACCCCGCAACGGGCTAGGCGGGCCGGCCCGTCGCAAAATAGTAAAAAAAGAACTGGGAGTAAAATTTGTTGAGACCTCGGAGCAAATGAGACTATTGAAGCAAATATTTGTGCAAAAAAACCTGGGAGCAAAGAAAAAAAAAAAACACTTGAATCAATCACAATCACAACAAATGGGAAGAAAATTGAGCAAGTCCACCAAACATTAAATTGAGCAAAAGAATTGAATAAACATTAGTTCAGCCATTTTTACCGAAAGAAGCTGTCTTGCCGTTGTCGCTCGGAGTCACTGCCGCTGGCCCAAAAGGTCTCACCGCTCGCAGGTCGCAGACGCCGCTTCCTTGTTGCTCGCCACCGCCGCCGCCGCCGCTCGCAGGTCGCCGCACACCGGTCGGTCTACAGAGGCTAGCCGCAGTGCCGCTTGAAAGAATTCGGGTTGAAAGGCTATGGGACTCGGGTTTACGCAAATGGCAAAGTAATCAAGGCCCGTCTCTGTTATTGTTACTGTTATCTTTTGATTTTGTTAAAAAAGAGGGGAAAAGTAAACGTGTAATTAGAGCTGTAGACGAGCATAGCAGAGCAAAGTCGAGCCGATCTCGAGCTTTAACAAGTCAACTATAAAAAATTATATAAAAAATCTATTTTCGAGCCTTACCGAGTCTCATCGAGCCGAGTCGAGCTTATGGCCTCGAACTCGAGCCTTAACGAGCCGAGCCGAGCCAAACTCGTTTAATTTAACAGCACTACGATGTAATCTAATTTCTTTGATGAAAGGAAAAGTAAAGCGTGGCGTAAATTGCATTCTAATTTTTTTAATGACGGGTCGGCTCATGCAGGCCAGCCCATTTAGGCCCGCTTTTGGCGGGCCTTTAAAACATGTGCCCAACCCGCCTATTTGGCGGGCCGATCCGCGATTCCAAGCCCGCTTTGATGAGGTAAAGAGTAGATGTAGGAATTATATGTGTCGAAATTATTCAAAAATAACGGTTTGTGGGTAAAACAATGTGCCCAAAAATCAACTAAAAATATGGTATACAAATAGTACTTAAATATTATAATATGCACTCTTATAGTACTTTTTAGCTGGAAAAAAAAAATGTTGGTTAATCCCACCTTCAAAGAAATATAAAAATATGTTAAATACGCAAATGTAATATCCGAGTGCATCTCTAAGATTGCATAGTAGTTTAGTTTTATATAAATTTGGGAAGACAATATGTTCATACTGAGTTTGGATTTTGAGGATGAATTCTACAACATCATCAGACAAACTACAACTTACAAGAATGAAACACAAAGAGTTTGAGAGGAAAAAAAAAAGTATCTGAAAAAAATCGACATATCCTAATTGCGCGTAACGAAGCTAGCAACAAGGAGTGTCATTCGTGTTCGACAAAATAATTTGATTTGTCTTTACTTAGAACCTCTATTGTATAAACGTTTGTGATAATTCAGATAAACTATTATTACAACGATCACGTTGGAAAGACTAACATAAACAGATTCCTCCGAAATTCGAATAATCCTTCCTTGTTTCTTTCTGAATTTGGACAATGCAGTTCCTTACGTTTTCCCCAACAAATGCCGAACAACTCATATTTTATCTATCCTTTACCCGTTAAAAACTCTTTCAGATTCCTCAAAATTCCTCGGTTATATGGGTTTATGAATTGCGTGCTGATCTCTGTTTGACCTGCTTAAAAGAACATGACTAAGAAAAGTGGGGCAAGGATTATAAATCAAAGTATATCCAAGCTCACGAGAGAAGCATTTGTAGCAAATTACCAGCACTCGGATCGAATTTCATTTGAAATTCTGGATATTGTTTCCAGTTTATCTGCAAAAAATCATTCATTACTCGGAGGATAATAATATCACATATCACATATGATTTGAGATCACAGATCCAAAAAAAAAAAAAGGGTA